CTCCCCAGGCTCACTTTAGATCATCGAACACATTTCTCTGTGGCTCCATAATCTTCTTGATCAGAAAATTTGGAGCACAACTGAGTTACATGTTGCTATAGTACAGGTTCTCCAATGTCCCGAGTCTTCACTGACCTTGAAAGGCTAGGGCCAAAATGTTGGCTAACCATGCAGCCCTTCCTTTTCTCCAATTTTGATCTGCTAACTTATAAGTGAGTAAATTTAAATTCTAGTATCACACTGCTTGGATCCCAAGCCAATTGTTAGCATGATAAATTTGGGGGAACTAGCTTAAACTCACTGTACATCTATTCTCATCTGTAAAATGGAGCTAAGATGGTCAAATTTTATGAGATTATTCTAAACGTTAAATGAAATAATCAATGTAACTATCTGGCACACAGTGTTAAAAATGTTATTTCTTCCTCTGGGTATTATCATTAGGTTATCAGAGATGATTTTATTTATTTTTAAAGTACTACATCCATTTTTGTCCTCACATTTTGAATATCATAAATCAGAACAGATTCATCAGTGCAAATTCTCACCTTCGTTTTGTTCAAATTCATCTAACACCTTGTCCAGGTTGTAAGCTTCTGCTTGGAAATAATTCTCCATCAGTGAGGAAACCACTTAAGAGACTTGTTTAAACCTAAAAAGTAGACCAAATTCGTAATATGATTTATAAATCTTAAGTATATGAGGATAAAATCTCTTACAAATATACACAAACAACAGTAAACAATAAAACTTATCAACATTAATAAAGTCTAAGGGTCAGCCAGATAGCTCAGTAGACTAACTAGGGTTTGATCCCCTGCATGACAGCCCTGCCCCCAGGGTGCACTGAGATGGTGATAAAAACTAGGCATGGTGGTGCATGCCAGCGCTTGGGAGGATGAAAACAAGAGGACCACTATGAGTCTGATCTGTGTAGTGAGATCCTGTAGACTCTGTACTAAATACATAAAAAAACAAAGTTTAGAAACCTTTAATGACAATCATCAAAATATAGTTGCCCCCTCATATCTATGAACTCTGAATCTCCAGATTTCTATCCAACCATGGATAGAAAATATTTGAAACAATTTTTCATCTATACTGAACTTGGAGAGACATTTTTTTTTTGTCCTGAAACCATACTACTAGTATAATATCTATTTATCATTTACACTATATTAGGTTTTATAAGTAATCTAGATGATTTAAAGTATATGGGAGGATTTGCATAGGTTATATGCAAATATTCCATCATGTTACGTAAGGAATTTCAATTGCTTCTCAGCCTTTTGGCTAACATCAAGTGTACATAAGGAATTTGAGCATCATGGATTTTGGTATCTTCAGGGAACCTGCAACCAATCTTCTACATATATCAAAGAACAATTATAGAACTAAACATACAAAGGAAGACTTCATCATTCACTGGAACATGCTTCAAAGGACAAAAAAGATGTTGGGAAGGGTATCATCACTTTAAGATAAAATTAAACTTCTATTTAAATGAAACTTTCTTCAGAGTAGGGAGAGAGATTGGTGGTATAAGCACCTGCCTAGCAAGTGCAAGGTCCCAAGTTTGATCCCCTGTACTGCATGCCATGCCAGCCATCAAAACCAGGCGTGGTAGAGCACACCTGTAATTCCAGCGCTGGGAAGGCTGAGACAGGAGGATCACTACAAGTCCAAGCTGTGTAGCAAGACCCTGTACCAAATAAGTAAAACAAATAATTTTTTTTAAGTTTTTTAAAAAGAAACTTCCAAAAAAATAAAAAGGAAAGAAACTTCCTTCAAATGTGAAAATTATAGGACAGCTTAAGCATGAAGTAAGGAGTATTAGTTCCTAAATTCTAATGACTAATTATTCTTTGTAAACTTTTTTTTTTTTTTGCTCCAAATGCCTTCGGGGCAGGTTTGGCTGGCTTGAGTTGTGGGGATCGAACCACAGCAACCTGAGCCTGACTGCTTTGTTAGAGCAGCCACCTAGCTAACTGAGCCGAGGGGTAGTCCCCCCTCCCCGTAAACTTCTTCAAGTACCACTTCTAAGCTTGCCTTACTGTTAAAAGATTTAAAGCATCCTCTGCACATATATATTAGTTGAATTAACTGTTGTAAAGGATGCTAAGAGTTCATAGCAGGTGTTAAGTAAGTGCTAACATACTATTCATTATTCCCCTTACCTATTATCATGACATCCATGCTTATCTATCTTCTCAATTTCTGAAAATTTTCTTTTTGGTTTTTTGTTTGTATTTTAAGGAAGGGTCTACAGGGTATTCAGAGTCTCACTACTAGATCAGACTCGTAGTGATCTGCCTGTCTACAGCCTCCCAAGAGCTGGGATTACAGGTACATGCTATCATGCCCACTCTTAATCACCCATCTCGGTGTGTCCTGGGGGCAGGGCCAGACAGCAGGCCTGAAGATGGAACCCCCAGCCACTGTACTTGCTTGCAAGTGCTTTAATCCACTGAGCTATTTGGCTGACCCAAAATTTTCTTTTTGAACTGGAAATTCTATTTGGCTTTTTACTGATATAAATAGGAAAGAGGTCAGATTACAATTTCTGCAAAAAAGTCTAAGTAGGGGGGGAAAAAACCTAGGAAAATCTGAAAGCAGTATCTTGCTATCTCAAACCTTAAATATTATATAAAAAGGGGAGGGGCCGGGGAGATAGCTCAGTAGAGTAAGTGCTTGCCTGGCAAGCACTGGGTCCTGAGTTCAATCCTTGGTACCACAAAAAAAAGGGGGGGGGGAAATCTTTAATTTGTAGTGTTCTGCTTATCCCAGGTATATATTAAGTGTCTATATTATTTCTGTCATTTTACAAATAAGAAAATAAACTTAGGGAATTTAAATAACTTATTCTAGTATTTTCCCATATTATTAGTCAATTTCCATTTATTGAATGACTATTAAGCTATTCAAGTTGATATAGACAAATAGGCCATATTATTTTAAAAATTTCCTAACTATACTTCAATAACATTTTGAAAAACATGCCATTTCATTTTGCTGAATACTGAAAGTTACTTAACAGCAGTTTACAACATTATAGGAAAAATATTAGTGTACAGGGAATCAGATCAAAATATATGTATGTATACCTACTGTGTACAGGATACTAGAACCAATTCAAATTTCAGGTATCTTCCATAATGTCAAGAAGTTTATAATGTGGTTAATGAGGAACAATGCTAAATAAAGAAAATTTAAATGATAATAAATATCTATTTTTTTTCTTTTTGAAACTGTGCAGTTCAGGCTGGCCTTGAACTCACTTTGTAGCCCAGGCTGGCCTTGAACTTCCAATCATCCTCCTGCCTCAGCCTACTCAATGCTGGGATTACATGCATGCACCACTACACAAGATACAGTATATGACCACTTACCATGTGATCAATTGCTAGATGAAAATATTGTAAGTGCCACAAAATAAGTATTACAGAAATTCAAGAAGTAATTTAAGTTCATCATTCTTGCCTAAAGTCTTAGCTCAAATATCATTTTCACATGGAAGCAGTCTCTCTAAGCTCCCAAGAAAGATGATACCCACACCCTTCATAATCTCTCACAACTTTCCATTCTTTGCCTTTATGATACTTATTACCATCTATAAATATAGGCCACTATGATTATTCAATTAATATCAAGCTTGGCAATCAGACTATAAACAGGAGAGTACTCTTCAGGCTGTGTTCACTGTGTACCCCCAGTGAACCACAGAAACTAGTATGGTATCCTTAAGTTTTAATACTTATGCTATTCAAACAACAATGAATAAACAGCTAGTCAATAAGTTATACTGAACTCTAATTACTAGCTAAGGCAAGCATCCAATGTTAGCTACATCATCAGACAAATGGTTACTGAGGAAGAGTGTCTCAAGGTATCATTCCACAGATGAATTGTTAATTTCAAAGGAGGAACTATACATTTACAATGAAGAGATATGACAATTACCATCTAAGCAAAATTATCTGACTTAGTATCACTGAGAGTTTAATGTGTGGACATCATGTACTTTCAAATGTGATACAGTAAACAAAGTACAGAGTATCAATTGTGTTGCATTCTTTTTTTTTTTTTTTCCTTGTACTGGGAGTCAAATTCAGGACCTTGCTCTTGCCAAGCAAGCACTGTGACACTGAGCTATATCACTGGCCCACCTATGCCACATTTTTGCCAAAAATATTTACTTTAAATTTAATCATAAGGAAACAATTAGGCAAATCTAGAATGTGAAGATTCTATAAGACAAATGATCTGAGCTCTTAAAAAAAATCAATGCTTTCAACATAGTAAGAAAAATTACGATAGACATGATTATTCTAAATTAAAAGACTCTAAAGGCTCTAAAGAGATTATATAACCAAATGACCTATGTTAACAATGTCTGGGTTGTTGGGAGCCATGGAAACTAAAAAAAATTGGTCAGATGTGTGTAAGCAGGACTAGGCATCTGTTATGATTTGTGTCTTCTTGTCTCCCAAAAGCTTCATGCAGTCATGGGGGCTTCGGGAGTTTGTGATAGATTATTGTAGGTATAGATGCTACACCTGCCCTTGGGACAGGTAATTTCATTACAATATAAGGAAGGGAGAGAAGCTAGCTAGCTGCTTAAGCTACTACTACTCCCTTTGCTCTCACTCTTTACCACTGCCACAAAAGGCTGCTCTCTGCCATGTGCTGCTCTACCTTGGAGCCAGCTGAGTATGAACTGAAACCTCCAGTAACTGAGCTAAATAAACCTTTCTTTCCCTCATTTTGAGTGTTGGGTATTTGTCCCAGTAGTGAGAGAATAACTAAAGCAGACAAGCTACCTTAGTCCTGAGATAAGCATCCTGACTGGTTAATGCCAGCTATGAGTCACAAGGCAACTTTGTGTCACATGTTACTAACTTTGCAAAGGTATAAATAAACGTCCATATTGTTTCTGGGGGAGAGGTTGTCTCACCAACCAGGCAACCAAGTCACCACCTAACCCAGCTCTTGTCTCCTTGTCTATATTTTCCTATTCCTGCCACCATTTCTCCCCAGGTAGAATGGATCATACTGAGGCCCACAGATCTTTACAATGGGTCCTGCACCCAGAAAACATACAGGGGCTGTAGACATAGCAAAATGTTGGCCTATCATGTGCTAGGACCTGAGTCTGATTTCTAGAGAAGGGCAAAGGAAGGGAGAAAGGGAGCAAAAAGGAAAAGAAAGAAGGCAAAAGTCAAGGAGGGAAGGAAGGAGGGAAAGGCAACATATATACTCACATAGAGCAAGAAATATTTGGGGGATTTGGGGAAATCTCGTCATGGACTATATATATCAGATGATGTGCATTGAAATAACAGTCATTTTTCTTGGATTCAATAATAATGATATCCTGATTTTATAGGAGATGCCTGAAGTGTTTTGTGAAGAAGTATGATATGCAACTAACTTTTAAATGATTAAGGAAAAAAACAGCTTGCTGGACTAGAATTATAACTAGTTGTAGACACTTGCTTAGCATCATTAAACCCGGAGTTTAATCCCCAGTACTGAAAAACCAAACATAAGAACAAGAAAACGTTGTGAAAGAGTGGGAGGAAAGGAGAGAGAGATGTACAATAAGGCCAAAATGGAAAAAACTGATAAATATAGGTAAAAGATATATGTGTCTG